TGCAAGGTGTGCGGACCGGGAGAGTGTGCGTGTCTGTGGGTCGAGGGCTGCTGTCCGCGTGTGAGGGTGCGAGGGTGCGAGGGTGCGGCCGTTTGGGGAACTGTGTAGTGCCGGGCCTGTGCGGTGAAAGTGTGCGATCTGGGCGGCCGCGGACAGGGGCCGCCCCGGAGGGGGAGGCGTCAGCCCTGCGAGACTCGCGGGCGTGTCGGGGCTCGGGCGCCTTTAGCCGGGAGGCGCGGGAGGCGCGGAGCCGCTCCAGCCGTCCTGCCGCCGTCCGCGCGGGCCGTCCGTCCCTTCGGGGCCTCCGGGCCCCGGGCCCGCGGCTCCGGGGGACAGGCGGGGACCCCCGGGGCCCGCCGGCCGCCCGGGGGGTCGAGGACGCCGTCCGCCGGGCGCCTAGCAGCGGCCCCCGGCCAGCGCGCAGTGCGTGCGGCTCCGGAAGCCCGGCCTGGAGCGCACTGGGGCCGGGGCGGAGGCCGGGCCCGGGAGCCCCCGCTGGCCGCCGAGCTGGTGGGCAGCGCCGTGTGGCGCGTGGAGCGCGCGGGGGCCGGGGGCTGGCGCTGGGAGCGTGCGGTCGGCGTGGACTGCAGCGCCCCGGAGCCGCGCTGCCTCTGGCTGCCCTGCCTCAGCCACAGCGACCGCCGCGCGCCCGGTCCGCGCCGGGCCAGGGTGAGCGCCGCGGGGCCGGGCCGGGGGGCCGGGGCAGGCCCTGCCAGGGTCTGAGTGGGACTGGGCCATCAACTCCTTGCGGCCTCTGAGCTGTGTGCGCCCTGCATTCCGGGACTGACGCTCCTGGGGCGGGGAGTGAGTGAGGCGCTTGAGAGACGGGGCTGAGGGTGGCAGTATCTGTGGCTTGGAGCTCTGCCAGGGCCTCTAGGATGACAACCCCCGTCTGGGTCAAGACCTCCAGGGGGCTCAGCCCTCTGGGTTTCCAGGCAGTGGGAGGATGGAAGGGGCCAGAGTGTTTGAAGAGACGCTGGGGCTTCTAGGAATCCCAGAGGGCTGGCAGAGACCTCGAGTCCGAGGCAGGCAGAGGCATCTCTGAATGGAGAAGGGCGAACTACTCACCCCATCCCTGGTAGGGGACCTGGGCACAGGGCCCACGAGGGTTTCCTAGAGGGCAGAGGAGGCTGAGTGGCAGATGGGCCCCTGCAGGTAGTGAGTGCTCTCAGGGCCGACAGGGTTGGGGAGGGGGCTGCCGTGTTTCTGATGTCCGGGATGGACCAGGCTGGTAGGGTGTGAGTCACAGTGGGCGACATGCCCGGCCTGAGCACTGTGCTCCCTGCAATGACCTCTTTATGCTCCCGTGGGGGAGGAGCAGGGCTCCAGGGTTCTAGTCCCTGGTGCTGCCAACCCACCACGTGTACACCTCTGCCTGATTTGTGGCCTGAGGCCTTCTGCCCTGCTGTCACCATCAGCTGGTATTTTTGGATGTCTCTTTCTTTCCTAACATGAGGGTGGGAGTGTTTGGAAATAGATCCAGGCCAGGAGAATGTAATCAGCAATGTCCCTGTGTCCCCTGAGCAACTCCCTCGAAGTCCCCTTGTCTCTGTGGGTAAGTCGGAGAGCCAGAGCTGGGTGTGTGTGAGAGCTGTGCCCTCCTCCAGCTGATGACCTTTCTAGTTGTTATTAATGGCTCCTTCTCTGTTTTTGCACCTCTCACCTCCCTCGCCTCAAGATGAGAGCAAGACTCAGTGCTGTCCCAGGTCAGAGGGGAGGAGAGGAAACTTGCGTATAGTAGCTTGAAGGATTGAGATTAAACCTAAGGAAGAACTTCTTACAGGGGAGATGCCAGTTCTGGCTCTTGATGCGTGTCCAGGTATCTCCTCTTCAAGCAAGGGTGGTAGCTGTGGCAGGGTATTGACATTTTCAAGAGCCTATTTGGAAGGGGTGGGAGGAAGGGGACTGGAAGGAAGGAACAGAGGGAAGGGAGAGGCAGAGATAAGGGAGGGAGTGCTTGGTGAGGAGCGACCTGGAGAGGAAGGCATGCCTCCTGCCCTGGATTACACGCCAGCCCTCCCAGGGAGCAGCCCCCTCAGGCAACTGGCAGCTCCAGGCAGGATGTGTGCTGGGGGAGGGGCGGGGGGCGTGCGGGGACCTGTCCCAGCCACTTCTCATCACTGGGGCAGCTGGTGGCTTGAACCTTAATCCAGGACAGCAGCAAAACAATGGGCCCTGCAAACAGCCTCGGCTCTGAGCCTGAGTGGGGGAAAGGCAGGGGGGAGCCCACACTGGGGAAGAGCAGGGGCTTCTGGTAGGAGAGGGCAGTTGGTGGGAGGTCCCCCAGACCCTCTTGGCTCCCTGATCAGTTCCTTGCCAGCTCAGCAGAGATGGGAAATCCGGGGGATTTCAGACCTCAGCAGAATTCCCAGAGAATTTTCTCCTCTGGGCTCCCCAGGTCCCCATGGGGGTGCAGGGCTCAGTGGGAGAGGCTAGCCTAAAGCTACAAGTGGAAGATGCTGGACCTCCCACCACCCCCTCCCTGTCAAAATCCCTGCTGAGGCCTCCTGGACTGGGGGTCGTCCAGCTTTTGCGTGGCTCCTGTCTGGTATGGGGAACTCGCAGCTTCATCTGGGTAGGTTTCCAGACTGTATTGGATTAGAACAGTCTAGAAAGGCCTGTCTCCCTTGCCTGGAGCTCCACTCAGCCTCTTGTGTATTCCACCAGGCTCTATCCCCTCGGGCTGTATGAAGCAGGCCTATTGCCTATTGTCTCTGTCACATTTTTCTTTAATCTTCTGAGATTGGAGGATCCAGCCTCTTCCCCAGGCCTGCTCTGAGAGCAGCCAGGCTCTCCCACATGTGGAAATCTTTAGCAGAGGGCAGCTGTCTCGTCCACTGGGTGCGTGGACGGGAGGGTGCATGGTCCGTGAGTGAACATTTTAGCACAGGACATTTGAGTGGCAGATGTTTTTGAGGTTTCTCCTCAAAAACATTAGAAGGGGACAAGAGGGGATGCTGACAGTGAACAGGGAGCTCCTCACTCCAGAGCTGATGGGCTTCTTCCTTCCACACCCAACCCCTCACCCTTTGTCCTGCCAGCTGATGGCCCCTGCCCAGGGTGCCGAGGAGGAGTTGAGGGGGGTAAGGAGTGTTGCTGATGGGGGCTTCTTGCCCCCTGAGGGGCTTGGACTAGGGGCAGCATAGAGGTCAGGCCACGTGATATTATGGATTGAAGAGTCCTCAAGGAGGCCTCTTCGCTTTTCAAAGCCAGGCAGCCCCTCGCCTCCCATCTTCCCCCGTTGGCCTCCATAAGCATGATGTATCCTCTATCTGACACCCTCCTGTCACCCACCTTCCCCCTCTACATCGCAAAGGAAGCCCACTCTTGGCACTATCTGTTCTTCTTGCCCCAGAAACAAACCTGTGTGCTCCTCCAAACTCTTGTCTTCAGACACCCTCTGCCGTGCCATCTTGTAGAATCCCAAGAATTTCAGGTCTAATGGGAGGCTTAGTGTCCCTGCTAACCCCCGTCTTTTTTTTTTTTTTTTTTTAGAGACAGAGACTTGTTCTGTTTTCCAGACTGTAGTGCTATGGAGCGGTCTGGGCTTACTGCAGCCCCTGCCTCCCGGGTTCAAGCGATTCTCCTGCCTCAGCCTCCCGAGTAGCTGGGATTACAGGTGCCTGCCACCACACCTGGCTAATTTTTTTTTATTTTTAGTGGAGACAGGGTTTTACCTTGTTGGCCAGGCTGGTCTCGAACTCCTGATCTCATGATCCACCATCCTTGGTCTCCCAAAGCCCTGGGATTAAATTACCGGCAAGAGCTGCTGCACTCGGCCTTTTTGTTTTTTTTTTTTTTTT